GAGTGAATGGCAAGAAGAGATGATTGTAAAGGTGGAGTGGATTTTAAGAAAAGATGGTTGTAATGGTGGAGTGAATGGCAAGAAGAGATTGTTGTAAAGGTGGAGTGAATGGCAAGAAGGGATGGTTGTAAAGGTGGAGTGAATGGCAAGAAGAGATGGTTGTAAAGGTGGAGTGAATGGCAAGAAGAGATGGTTGTAAAGGTGGAGTGAATGGCAAGAAGAGATTGTTGTAAAGGTGGAGTGAATGGCAAGAAGAGATGGTTGTAAAGGTGGAGTGAATGGCAAGAAGAGATGGTTGTAAAGGTGGAGTGAATGGCAAGAAGAGATGGTTGTAAAGGTGGAGTGAATGGCAAGAAGAGATGGTTGTAAAGATGGAGTAAATGGCAAGAAGAGATGGTTGTAAAGGTGGAGTGAATGGCAAGAAGAGATGGTTGTAAAGGTGGAGTGAATGGCAAGAAGAGATGGTTGTAAAGGTGGAGTGGATTATAAGAAAAGATGGATGTAAAGGTGGAGTGAGTGGCAAGAAGAGATGGTTGTAAAGGTGGAGTGAATGGCAAGAAGAGATGGTTGTAAAGGTGGAGTGGATTATAAGAAAAGATGGATGTAAAGGTGGAGTGAATGGCAAGAAGAGATGGTTGTAAAGGTGGAGTGAATGGCAAGAAGAGATGGTTGTAAAGGTGGAGTGGATTTTAAGAAAAGATAGATGTAAAGATGGAGTGAATGGCAAGAAGAGATGGTTGTAAAGGTGGAGTGAATGGCAAGAAGAGATGGCTGTAAAGGTGGAGTGGATTATAAGAAAAGATGGATGTAAAGGTGGAGTGAATGGCAAGAAGAGATGGATGTAAAGGTGGAGTGGATTTTAAGAAAAGATGGTTGTAAAGGTGGAGTGAATGGCAAGAAGAGATGGATGTAAAGGTGGAGTGAATGGCAAGAAGAGATGGATGTAAAGGTGGAGTTAATGGCAAGAAGAGATGGTTGTAAAGGTGGAGTGAATTGCAAGAAGAGATGGTTGTAAAGGTGGAGTGAATGGCAAGAAGAGATGGTTGTAAAGGTGGAGTGAATGGCAAGAAGAGATGGTTGTAAAGGTGGAGTTAATGGCAAGAAGAGATGGTTGTAAAGGTGGAGTGAATGGCAAGAAGAGATGGTTGTAAAGGTGGAGTGAATGGCAAGAAGAGATGGTTGTAAAGGTGGAGTGAATGGCAAGAAGAGATGGTTGTAAAGGTGGAGTGAATGGCAAGAAGAGATGGTTGTAAAGGTGGAGTGAATGGCAAGAAGAGATGGTTGTAAAGGTGGAGTGAATGGCAAGAAGAGATGGTTGTAAAGGTGGAGTAAATGGCAAGAAGAGATGGTTGTAAAGGTGGAGTGAATGGCAAGAAGAGATGGTTGTAAAGGTGGAGTGGATTTTAAGAAAAGATGGTTGTAAAGGTGGAGTGAATGGCAAGAAGAGATGGTTGTAAAGGTGCAGTGAATGGCAAGAAGAGACGGTTGTAAGTAAAAGTGGAGTAAATGGCGAGAAAAGATGGATGTAAAAGTTGGAGTTTGAAAAGGTTGGTTAAGAGGTTACGGGCGTGGGACATGGTGGACTACGTGATGGGCTCGCATGGATGCATTTGGAAACAGATTGGGTTGGGTAGGCTTAGGGCGTCATATAAAGTGAAAGGGGTGGGATGGTAGCTTTGGCTTTGGTGAAGAGGTGGGATGGAGTGGGATAGGTTGTAGATGGTGAAGAAGTGGGGTGGAGTGGGATAGTAGTGTATGAGTATAATGGGTGTTTAAGTGGATATTGGATAACAGGTGAAATATTGGGTATACTAATCATAATATGCTAAAATGGTATAGGTTTTAGCAGCACAAAATATACAAAGCCATTGATTGATTAATGATTGCCAATGCCATTTCAGGACCTCGTCAGGTGAGACATCGGCCACCAGTGTGGATCCACCAACCGTTTCACGCCAAACCTCAAAACTCTCGCCTATATATGAACGCACACAAAGGTCGAAAGATGACATTTTAAAAGCCAAATCTTACAAAAGTGAAGCTAGTTTAAAAAATCTTCTCGGTATTTGAAAATTGCTAACCACGTGAGCAGAGCTATGACGTCATGGGGCTAGAACATGGCCGTATCCGTATCCTGTGAAACAGATCCCAAGACATATTAATTACTCTCTGTGTCCGACCCATCTGTGTCCGACCCATCTGTGTCTGACCCATCTGTGTCTGACCCATCTGTGTCTAGTCCATCTCTGTCTGACCCATCTGTGTCTAGTCCATCTGTCTGGCCCATCTGTGTCTAGCCCATCTGTGTCTGGCCCATCTGTGTCTGACCCATCTGTGTCTGGCCCATCTGTGTCTGGCCCACCTGTGTCTGATCCATCGTGCTTCGGTCTTCAGTTATAATAATTGCATACAAATATTAATGTGAACGTTATTTCTCTTAAGTAAAATCATTGAATCTCAAACAATCATTAAGACTCTAGGCATAAATGAGCCTCTTATGATTGCAAGGTACAAGAAGAACAATAAATATACTGTTACTACGAAATAACGAGTTACTTGTGATTGATATAACTTTGAGCAGTGTTTGTCCTCTGGGTATGTTTGATCTGGGAATGTTTGGTCTCTGAGGGAATATTGAGCCTCCGGGAATGTTTCGCCTCTGGTAATGTTTGGTCTCTGGGAATGTTTGGCCTATGGGAATTTTTGGTCTTTGAGAGTGTTTGGTCTCTAGGAATGTTAAGCCTCTGGTAAGGTTTGGTCTCTGAGAATGTTTGGCCTCTGGGAATGTTTGGTCTTTGATAGTGTTTGGTCTCTGGCAATGTTTGTTCTCTGGGAATGTTTGGTCTCTGGGAATATTTTGGACTCTACGAGTGTTTGGTCTCTGGGAATGTTTGGTCTCTGGGAATGTTTGGCCTCTGGCAATGTTTGGTCTCTGGCAATGTTTGGTCTCTGGGAATGTTTGGTCTCTGGGAATGTTTGGTCTCTGGCAATGTTTGGTCTCTGGGAATGTTTGGTCTCTGGGAATATTTTGGACTCTACGAGTGTTTGTTCTCTGGGAATGTTTGGTCTCTGGAAATGTTTGGTATCTGGGAATGTTTGGACTCTAGGAGTGTTTGTTCTCTGGTAATGTTTGGTCTCTGGGAATGTTTGGTCTCTGGGAATGTTTGGTCTCTGGGAATGTTTGGTCTTTGAGTGTTTGGTCTCTGGGAATGTTTGGTCTTTGAGTGTTTGGTCTCTGGGAATGTTGAGCTTCTGAGAATGTTTGGTCTTTGAGAGTGTTTGGTCTCTATGAATGTTGAGCTTCTGAGAATGTTTGGTCTTTGATAGTGTTTGGTCTCTGGGAATGTTGAGCTTCTGAGAATGTTTGGTCTTTGAGAGTGTTTGGTCTCTGGGAATGTTGAGTTTTCGAGAATGTTTGGTCTTTGAGAGTGTTTGGTCTCTGGGAATGTTGAGCTTCTGAGAATGTTTGGTCTTTGAGAGTGTTTGGTTTCTGGGAAGTTGAGGCTCTGGCAATGTTTGGTCTCTGGGAATGTTTTGTCTCTGGGAATGTTTTGGACTCTAGGAGTGTTTGGTCTCTGACATTGATTTGGTTACAATTATAAGTAATATTAAAGTGTCTGTTGTAAACTTTAATCGAATTTGATAGGACCACCAAAGAAGTCAAGAATAAGCTTTAATATTGAATGCCTCTACAGGAAGGACGTGAAGACTAGGCTTTAATACGGAGTGCCTCTAAAGGAAGTGAAGACTAGGCTTTAATACGGAGTGCCTCTAAAGGAAGTGAAGACTAGGCTTTAATACGGAGTGCCTCTAAAGGAAGGGAAGACTAGGCTCTAATATTGAATGCCTCTACAGGAAGGACGTGAAGACTAGGCTTTAATACGGAGTGCCTCTAAAGGAAGTGAAGACTAGGCTCTAATATTGAATGCCTCTACAGGAAGGACGTGAAGACTAGGCTTTAATATTGAATGTCTCTACAGGAAGGACGTGAAGATTAGGCTCTAACACTGAATGCCTCTAAAGGGAGTAAGTGAAGACTAGACTCTAACACTGACTGCCTCTAACACTGAGTGCCTCTAACACTGAACCCCTCTAAGTTACAGGATTGTTTGGCTGGCTTACAAACGAGCATCATATTTGCATGCTCTTCAACTTCAAGATTATTCTTTGAAAGCGAACAGGGGGAGAATACTCTGCATTGTAATTTGTGTGAAGACTTAGCACAACCCAGTCTAACAAATATGGAACCAGCACTATTTAACTGAGCTTAAGGACGTGTTGAGGCATTGAGATAATAATCCCACCATGATGAGGAGTTGGGATCATAATTCTACCATGTTAAAGTGCTGGGAGCTTACTCCTACTTTGATGATCATTTCTAATGTATACAGCAAGCTTGTGGATGAGAATAATCCAGATGTCAGAGAGGATTTGGGAGGTTGGGGGGGGGGGGGGTCTATTCTACCATGTTAAAGTGCTGGGAGCTTACTCCTACTTTGATGATCATTTCTAATGTATACAGCAAGCTTGTGGATGAGAATAATCCAGATGTCAGAGAGGATTTGGGAGGTTGGGGGGGGGGGGGTCTACAATTATTGCTATGTTAAAGCTGTAAAGCCTCCATAAAGTGTTCAACTTTGGGAGATATATATTGTTGATACTCATGAACAATTATCCATATTTTCCCCTTTTAGAGCGATTCATGGAAGTCAATGAGGCACTTTAGTTATTAATACTGCCAATTGTAACTGTATAGATTTCAACAGTTGACTACCGGTATATGATGATACAGTATGATCCTAATGATAGCCTCCACATATTGATACCATAAAAAAATAAATGATTTTTTTTTTTTTACAAATTACAAATGTTATTTAATCCACACAAAAAAATTAAATGGCGCTTAAAATAAGAGTTATGCTCAGTTCACATTTTAAATTTTCTTTTTGTAGAATTGGGTCAATTTTCTTTTTGTGGAACTGGCCTCAATTTTCTTTTTGAATGCACTATGTTTTAAAACAAAAAGTGCGCGTAAAAAAATATTAGATGAAAATGTGACTTGAACTGCGCATTTATTTAATAATGCAAGTACAACAATACAAAATGACATTAACTTCTGAAACTTTTCATTTACTTCTTAAAATTTTATTCTAATTTCTTAGATGCAATATTTAGTACTTTAAGAATGTACAATATAACGTGTCCACAGGGAGCGACCTGACCATTACGTAGTACATTCTGTTGTGTTGTTCACCAGAATTGCTAAAAGTTGTAGCACAATTTCAAAACAATTAAAAACAGCCAACCAGTTTCTCAAAACAAAGTGTTAGTTATGATGATGGCGTGTGATGTCTTCCTGTAAAGTATCTGAGCTTCTAGCATTTACCTACCTATCCTGCATATACTTGTATTTATGTTCAAAGATATAATCTATCTATATGTTCCTCCTAGGTGCACTGGTTAAGGTGTAAATTAAGCTTCAGATCTGTAGTTTGGTTTAATCAATATGAGAAATTATTAAATTAAAGAAATCCAAAGTATGCAATATCTAAATAACTTGGTTGCACCGCACCATCCCCCTGCACCTTGGAATAACAATGACAAAAACAGAAAATTGACGTGAGGTCCTAATAATACTCTACTGTTCTCCGGTGGATTAAAAAGTTCATGTGCGCCAGAGTGCCACACATTATTCATTAGACTAAACAAGAAGACAGAATGTCAGAATTTAAAACCCCCGGAAAGGTTAGAGAGTGAGTTAAATAGCGGCAGGCGTGACGTGAGCTTGGGGCTTTGTTTCCTCTGTGTATGGATTGAGAGACGATGACGCGGATGGCTGGGGTAAAACAATAAATAACTGTTGTCTGTGTTTAATGGCTTTCTCCTTTCTTTCCAGCAACCTGTCAAATAGAGTCAATGTTCAGTTGAGAGGGGGGGGGTGACATTTGCACACAAAAAAAAAAAAAAAAAAAATTATTAGCAGTTATCATTAAAATAAAATTGAACATCAGGACCAGAAAAGATGAATATTGTTCAGAGATGAGATAACTAGTTTAATACTTTTTGATTTTTTTTTTTAATTAATGACCACAGAATTGATATATTTTCAGAATGGCTTACTGTCTAATTTGAGACAAATTTTATGTTCAGGCATTATACATGTATAACTGTGGTTGTCACCAATGCCCTGGGTAAGAAAATGGTGATTTTAAAAAAAAGATTGTTTATTTCGCTTTGTGAAGTTTCTTTTTTAGAAAAATTTCAGATTTCTGAAATAGTTAACCACCGGCCTGTCGTCGGCCGATTTTCTCTTCCTGTACTGTGTAGACCAATAAAATCAGCCGATAAAAATGGCGTTGACAGAACAACTTTCAGTCGAATATTTTACACTACATAAAACTACTTCCTTTTATTAATAAATGAACTTCCGTTTTTTGCTCTGCTGTGCCCTTTTTTAAAACTTTGGAGTTATTTTTACAACGATCTTTATCAATTGAGTTTGTGCAAGTAGATTTTCATGAAAAGAATGAGGCCATAGCCGTACCATCTGGCTCACAAAATAAATCCGTTAGGAATCGTTTTGATAACTTTTTAGTTCATGAATTAAATGATTCAGAAGATGATTTTCCAAGCACACACGAAGACAATGATAATTCCAATTATTTTTCTAGTTGGTCAGAAAGCCAGAAAGCGAAAGTTCGGACTCTTGATGATTTAGACCTAGACCTAAGCCTGGAACAAATACGCATTGCTGCAACAACAGGACTCGTTCAAAACTATGTTGCAGATGATTGTGGACCAACAAAAAATAATTGGATGTTGTTCTATATGTTTTCTTATATTTTATTTTATGGATTAAATATTTATATAGCAGCTTTTTAAATTTTAGCTGTCTCTTGATGTTTAGTAATGTTTATATTGTTTATGTAGTGCTTGATTACTTGAATGTAATTATAGGTATCAGGAGCTATTTTTTTTTAAAATCTATTAATTACTAAAACATATACAAATAATACATTTTCTGAAAGATAAATACAAATGCTATTATATTATATAAACAATATAATAATATGCCTTTAAAAACTGTAGTTTGAGGTACTTGAAAAGAAAACTTTGCATTATTTTTTTTTTAAATCTTGGCCACCCCAAGGTCAAGGAGTATAAAATAGCATTAACAAAATAGTATAATGATTCCCCACTCAGCCTATTTTCAATAAATATCTACTTTATGGGGGTCTAGCTATAGTACTTGCATGTGGAAAATCACTTTTTTCAAAAGCACCCGAAGAGCTCTAAATTGCCTGCACAGTACAGAATGATAACAACAGTGTGTGGGGTAAAGAGCTAGTAGGACATGACAACTTGCAAAATAAATACCAGAGTGCCTCTGAGCTGCTCAGACATATTGATGTACATTTTCTTATCAGAGCTATAATATCAATTATGATAAATTGATTTTAAACTTCTTAATTACTTAAACATGTCCTTGCTTGAACATTTTATATCCACTTAGGGTAAAGAGGACAAAACAATATTTACCTACGTAGGTTATAGAGAGAACAAAATCTATCCACATAGGATATAGAGGAAAAAAAACCTATCTATCCACATAGAGTAAAGTGTTAAGAACTCCCATGTATCCACAAAAGGTATAGTGTAAAAAACCCATCTATTTACATAGAGTGTAATGTAAAAAAATAAAATATCCACATAAAAAAATAAAAGACTGTCAAGAATTAACAAAACAATTAACGTACACTCTAAAACAAAAATATTCTTGTTGGCTCAATGAGAATGAATTGAGACCACAATGGCCGATCAATTTTGTTCTTATACGATTGATTACAGTGATTACACAAAAAAATGCAGCAACTTTTTACTGAAAATATCCCAATTATTCTTTCATTTTTAAACAAATTTAATCTTAATTTGTTAAAATAACTTAGTCTATCCACACAGAGTAGAGTCAGAGGAAGGAAAAAAATACTATCCACATTACTCCCCCCCCCCCTTATCATGGTAGGTCATAAAGATGGTAAACTCAATAATTTTGATATCGCCTCATTAAGCTCAAACATCTGTATTGCTACAGTAGCATAATTAATGGAGCAATCAGGTCTAATTACATCTAAATTGATATCAAATTCATCAAGTCCCTCCTTTCCTACCGATTGATCGGTATTAACAAAAATTAAAAAAATTGACAAAACTCAGACATTAAACAAGCCATTTTTATGTAAAAGTCCGATTCTATTCATTATGAATGAAGTGAACAAGCAAGGAAGATTATTCTTTAATTTTTCTTGTTAAGTTATATGTGTGCCATTTGACAACATGTGGATAAAATGCTTAAAATCGACTGTCGGCACCGACGCTTGGCATCATGTGGATATTAAGTGTTAAGCAATTATTGCATTAACTTGCCTCTGTTATGTTAATTTTAAAATATGTTAATAAATGATAAAACTTTTAGTGAAATATTTAATTAAAACTAGACAATGTAACTGATCCTTCTTAGTGTTTGTGATGTTTTTGGTCAGTAGTTCATGAGTTAATTTGGATGTTTGTGTGGGTATTCAGAGGTTCTATGAGATACTGATGGATGAGATTCTAAGACATTCTTTGAGATACTGATGGATGAGATTCTAAGACATTCTATAAGAGACTGATGGATGAGATTCTAAGACATTCTATGAGATACTGATGAGATAATGATTAGATTCTATGAGATACTGAGTTTCTCTGAGATCCTGATGAGATTCCATGACATAATGATAGGATTCTAATGAGATACTGATGAGATTCTAATGAGATACTGATGAGATACTGATGAGATACTGATGACAAACATCCCGTCCAACAAAAACAAGTGAGTAAACCTACCCTCCTAAACTCTGCCATGTTTGTGGTGTTGGTTGGAGATCCTATGAAACTCAAGTAATCGATGCGCGTTGTGTCATCTCCACTTTGATTGTCTTTAACAAACATCTGTGTGGCAGAAAATGTGGAGAACATAACTGTTTGGGTAACAAGCCATTTTTTAATGACAAACTGCTATTTATGATTTAAAATATTAAAACTTACACAAGGAAAATTATCAAGGAATTACAGTATGACTGATCATTTTTTTGAATGTTTCAATGATTTTACAATGTCTTACAGTAAGACTGAGCACATTTATTTGAATTTTTGAATGCTATGACAAATTCTTACAGTTATTTGAATGCTATTACCAGCTCTTACAGTAAGACTGAGCACATTCATTATAAACTATTACCAGCACTTACAGTAAGACTGAGCACATTCTGAAGCTTGACATATTTAAGAGGGATGATTGCTCCTTCTCTTAGATCCTCTGGTTTAAGTCTGTGAACGTGAGGAAGTGAACAGTGAAAGATTATAGTTGACATGACCATTAACAAACTCCTACATTCAACATATCTAACTTACTGGCTGATAAATCTATTTTAAAATCTTTTTGATTCTCTAAAACTAAAATTCTGTTTAAAACTGTTGCTATCATGGTTTAAATCAATACAGTTGATTTATTCCTGTTTATATCAATACAGTTGATTTATTCCTGTTTATATCAATACAGTTGATTTATTCCTGCTTATATCAATACAGTTGATTTATTCCTGTTTATATCAATACAGTTGATTTATTCCTGTTTATATCAATACAGTTGATTTATTCCTGCTTATATCAATACAGTTGATTTATTCCTGCTTATATCAATACAATTGATTTATTCCTGCTTATATCAATACAGTTGATTTATTCCTGTTTATATCAATAGTTGATTTATTCCTGTTTATATCAATACAATTGATTTATTCCTGCTTATATCAATACAGTTGATTTATTCCTGTTTATATCAATAGTTGATTTATTCCTGTTTATATCAATACAGTTGATTTATTCCTGTTTATATCAATACAGTTGATTTATTCCTGTTATATCAATACAGTTGATTTATTCCTGTTATATCAATACAGTTGATTTATTCCTGTTTATATCAATACAGTTGATTTATTCCTGTTTATATCAATACAATTGATTTATTCCTGTTTACATCAATAGTTGATTTATTCCTGTTTATATCAATACAGTTGATTTATTCCTGTTATATCAATACAGTTGATTTATTCCTGTTTATATCAATACAATTGATTTATTCCTGCTTATATCAATACAGTTGATTTATTCCTGTTTATATCAATAGTTGATTTATTCCTGTTTATATCAATACAGTTGATTTATTCCTGTTTATATCAATACAGTTGATTTATTCCTGTTTATATCAATACAGTTGATTTATTCCTGTTATATCAATACAGTTGATTTATTCCTGTTATATCAATACAGTTGATTTATTCCTGTTTATATCAATACAGTTGATTTATTCCTGTTTATATCAATACAATTGATTTATTCCTGTTTACATCAATAGTTGATTTATTCCTGTTTATATCAATACAGTTGATTTATTCCTGTTATATCAATACAGTTGATTTATTCCTGTTTATATCAATACAATTGATTTATTCCTGCTTATATCAATACAGTTGATTTATTCCTGTTTATATCAATAGTTGATTTATTCCTGTTTATATCAATACAGTTGATTTATTCCTGTTTATATCAATACAGTTGATTTATTCCTGTTATATCAATACAGTTGATTTATTCCTGTTTATATCAATACAGTTGATTTATTCCTGTTTATATCAATACAATTGATTTATTCCTGTTTATATCAATACAGTTAATTTTTTCCTGTTTAAATCAATACAGTTAATTTATTCCTGTTTATATCAATACAGTTGATTTATTCCCGTTTATATCAATATAGTTGATTATTCCTGTTTTATCAATACAGTTGATTTATTCCTGTTTATATCAATACAGTTGATTTATTCCTATTTATATCAATACAGTTGATTTATTCCTGTTTATATCAATACAGTTGATTTATTCCTGTTTATATCAATACAGTTGATTTATTCCTGTTTATATCAATACAGTTGATTTATTCCTGTTTATATCAATACAGTTGATTTATTCCTGTTTATATCAATACAGTTGATTTATTCCTGTTTGTCAGGCTGAGAAAATAAAATTGGTGCAAAATCTGTTTTTTTTTTTTTGAAACCTCTCTTTTTTTATATCAATTTAAAACGGTGAAAGGTTGCTATGTTTTACTATCATGTAACTGAGTACAACATTTTACAATCATGTAACTTATTAATTGAAAGACTCCTGAGGGTAAATAACTTTTTCCTTGTGTGTAATGATAAAACAATGATTTCTTGAGAAATACTTTGATACCTTTTCATCCTTCGGTTGCACACAGAAGAAATGTTTTAAGTATTTAAAGTAGGTTTACAAAATATGAATCTGCATAGTCCAGTTTGCTTTACATGAAACATTAATTTTAAATTAAACAAAAAACTTGGAATAAATGTGCATATTTGCTGTGGAAAACAACATTCTGCGACACCTAGCAAAAAAATACAATGTCTGAGGCCCAAATTTTTTTGTTTGTTAAAAATAAAAATTTTGATGCACCACAGTGGCAAAAACAAAGCATGTGGTTTGAATTAATAGTAGTTCAATTATTTTACTGCTGATCAGTTTGAATTCATCATTTCTTCATTGTTCAACTTTATTATTATAAAAATTTGAATCTCTCACAATAAGAAACGACACCCTATACAATTAATTCTTTCTTTTTGTTGTTTTGTTTAAATTTCAATGATGAAACCGATTTTAGAGTCTAGCCAAGCTTACTCCAGCATCTGCATAGGTTCCATGGAATCGGCAGAGTCAAAGTCCAACGTGTGAGGCTGGTTGATAAACAACTTGACATTCTTAGGGCCATTGTCTGGGGAATCAACGTCAAGAATCAACAAACTCTTTTTACACAAAGGGACATGGGTCAACTGTTCTCCCAAATTGAGTGTCATCACTCATTGCATACAAATATAAGGCAGGGGGAACATATTTTCAGATATATTGATTAAAAAGTTGTTGAAAATTTACCCAGTCAATGTTTTTCTATGTTACTGTATACAATGATTGACACATGAAAACAACAACTAAATTATTAGAATAGTATGTTAGGATTGCATATAAAGGAATATTGTCAACTAGATGGAGCCGCCAAACATTGGAGACAACAATGCGTGAACTTCCCATCTACTAAAGTTACTTGACAAAAATGTGAACTCAAGTTATGCACATTTAAGAATGCCAATTTTTCTACAACCCTCCCCCACTCCCCTTTTTCCTGATACAGCACTACACACTTTTTATTTCATGCCCATGAACTCTATAAATATAGCCGACCCGCCGCTTAGCAGACACCGCGAGCTTGTTGGGGTGAGGGTGGTGCAGGAGGGGGGGTGGTAGCTCCACCACAGTGCGCATGTCTCGAGACCAAAGATGGCCAAGCAAGGGAGGGGAGGTTTTGCCTGTGTCTTGTCTTGCTTGCTCTGGCTTATCTATTTATAGCCTGCATCTTGTTTGCCCTACTTCTTCTGGCGAATTATATATATAGATATACTATATGTGTAGGCTTTGTTATTGATTTTAATGAAATGGTTATAGCATTTACATATATTGTGTGGTCATGTATGACTATTTAATAGTATAGCACCACACAGTATGACTAAATGTAATAGTATAGCACCACTAAGTACGACTATTCACTAAGTATGACTATTTAGTAGTAGGGCACCATATGACTATGCAATAGTACAGCACCATTAAGTATGAGTTTCTGCTTAAGTCAGGAGAATAGAGTTTGAAAATACCTTTAACTTTTAGACTTAATATTAAACTGTAAAAAGCACTAGCAGTTCATTCTCCTATTAACTGATAGCAGTTCATTCTCCTATTAACTGATAGCAGTTCATTCTCCTATTCACTGATAGCAGTTCATTCTCCTATTCACTGATAGCAGTTCATTCTCCTATTCACTGATAGCAGTTCATTCTCCTATTAACTGATAGCAGTTCATTCTCCTATTAACTGATAGCAGTTCATTCTCCTATTAACTGATAGCAGTTCATTCTCCTATTAACTGATAGCAGTTCATTCTCCTATTAACTGATAGCAGTTCATTCTCCTATTAACTGATAGCAGTTCATTCTCCTATTAACTGATAGCAGTTCATTCTCCTATTAACTGATAGCAGTTCATTCTCCTATTCACTGATAGCAGTTCATTCTCCTATTAACTGATAGCAGTTCATTCTCCTATTAACTGATAGCAGTTCATTCTCCTATTAACTGATGGCAGTTCATTCTCCTATTAACTGATAGCAGTTCATTCTCCTATTAACTGATAGCAGTTCATTCTCCTATTAACTGATAGCAGTTCATTCTCCTATGCACTGTTGTATAGTTTGTTCTTAGGTGTCATTTCTCAAATTATGTCACCCAAAAAAATATCTTTTTCAGACACCACCCCCCCCTCACAAAGTGTCTTAAATTCTTTTAACACCCCACTACTTTGGTGTCACGCCACATATAAAACAAAATTCAAAACATACATACAATTTTCATAACTTAACTAAGATTTGATTTTATTCTTTGACATTTCCCTTAATGGATTAAGATGTACTGTCAATAGAAAACTGTGACCTAAAACGCAAAACAACGAGGTCCTCCCCCAGCCTAATGTAAAATGGCCAAAACAGTTTTTTTGCATCATTTTTTCAATATGCGCAGAAGGTGTGTGTGTCTGAGGTTCATGGTACCTATAAAACCTGGGGCAATTTCGACATCAAATTAATGTTTTTAAAATTAATTGAATAAAGATTTTTCAAAAGTAAAAAATTTTAGATTTTAAAAAACAAACTTTTTTGTGCCATCACAATTTTTTTTTCACCCCCCCCCCCCCCCAATTGTCACAAATTTTCGACCCTCCCCACTCTCTCCCTGAGTGTGGCTTAATTTACGAACGACCCCTTATATTTGTATTCTTCACCATTGATGGTTCAGTGTTATCATTTAATTTTGCTTGGTCCATTTATAATAATAATAATAATTTTCATTTCAAAAACACGCTTCATCTCTAATTAAGCTAATTAAGCGCTGTACAAAGTCAACCATATATGACAATTTATATTTTTCCACAAATAAGATACAAAACGCAACAATACAATATCTACATCGAGGAATATGAGCAAGTTGGAAACAAGGAGGTAGACTACATCACCCCAGCAGGTGAGTGCGAAAAAGATGTGTTTTCAATTTAGTTTTGAAAGACTGCAGTGTCTGGTTGTTTCTGAGAGCCACAGGAAGGGGGTTCCAGATTTTTGGCCCGGCAAAAGCAAAAGTGCGCCTTCCGTAGGTCTAAAGACGGACTCACTGCATCCAGAGTTTGCCACTGTCGGATGAACGGAGTGATCTAGTGGGTACATAAGGCGTCATGAGTGCTTTGAGATAGGACGGCGCCAGGTCATGCCAGCAGTGGTAGCACAGAGTTGCAATTTTGTATTCAATGTGAGCCTGGACAGGCAGCCAATACAGCTCTCTCAGAAGTGTTTTAGCATGGTCAAATTTGCGTTTGCGCAGAACAATGCGAGCAGCATTATTCTGTGATTTTTGAATTTTATCCAGGAGCATAGCCAGAAGACCCACCATGAGAGCATTGCAGTAGTCCATGCATGATAGCACGAATGCGGACATCAGCCTCTTTGATGCATCGAACGTTAAAAAGGGTCTGATATAACTAATTCTGCGCAGCTCTAGAAAAATTGCCTTGCAACGCATTTTAATGTAATTTTTCGTATTAGTAGCAAACGCCCATGTTTCGCACTGTTTGAGCAAACTCAATCTGCACACCTGAGAGAATAAGGGATGGTGTGTTATTTAGAGATTTTTGCATCTGAACAGTAGCAATGGGGATTATCGGTCTTTTTATCTTTCAATTAGAGCTTGTTCATTTCATTTATGCTTCCCAATTAAGTCACTGGTCAAAATGAATAAATCAAAGAAATGAAAATAATAGATGACGTTTCACTTACCCCCTGAACAATGAAGTTTTAGAGAATGAAGCTTGACCGCTTGGTTAAAGCCTACATTTATTATGAGCTAGAAAATACATAAAAGGTATAAGCGACCAGTCATTTGGATAATAATTTAGAACATTTCATGAAAATTCAAATGTACGTGTGTCTAACTAAATGAATTTATGTAAGTTGTTTTGATATTAAAAAAAAAAATTTGTATTTAAATAGCAGAGCGCTCGCTGCACACAAAACATTAGATGTTTTTATCTGCCATCCATGAATTAAATAGTAGGCATCATAATAATCCATACATGATTAAATATTATCCATACTTTCCATACGTGATTAAATATCATCTAAACTTTCCATACATGATTAAATATCATCAAAGTTTTACCATCAAAAAATAGTCAGGACATAATTTTCACTCATCATGATCTAATTTTTAAATTTCACTTAACTCTTGCCAGCTTGGTTTTTTACATGCTTTAGTTTATTTCCATTGAAACATCTGGTTCAAAGGCAATAATTTTAAAAAAGGATGAAATAATGTCATAATCAGATTAGATCGATTCTTTTATTTCTTATCAATTTTCTTTTAGTAACTGTTAGGGAGGCAAATAAAACATGAACGAGTCCTGATTTCAATACAAACATTGGCCAGCTTGGCTAGTTACAAACATTAGCCTGCTTGGCTAGTTACAAACATTAGCCTGCTTGGCTAGTTACAAACATTAGCCTGCTTGGCTAGTTACAAACATTAGCCTGGGCATGCTTGGCTAGTTACAAACATTAGCCTGCTTGGCTAGTTACATACATAGGCCTGCTTGGCTAGTTACATACATAGGCCTGCTTGGCTAGTTACATACATAGGCCTGCTTGGCTAGTTACAAACATTAGCCTGCTTGGCTAGTTACATACATAGGCCTGCTTGGCTAGTTACAAACATTAGCCTGCTTGGCTAGTTACAAGCCTCTGCCTGCTTAGCTTATTGTAACCTCCAATAGAACTCACTTGTTCATCACAGTCAGACTCAAGATAACCCTTTTTATTGTAACCTCAAATAGAACTCACTAGTTCATCACAGTCAGACTCAAGATGACCCTTTTTATTGTAACCTCAAATAGAACTCACTAATTCATCACAGTGAGACTCAAGATAACCCTTTTTATTGTAACCTCAAATAGAACTCACTAGTTCATCACAGTCAGACTCACGATAACCCTTTTTATTGTAATCTCAAATAGAACTCACTAGTTCATCACAGTCAGACTCAAGATAACCCTTTTTATTGTAATCTCAAATAGAACTCACTAGTTCATCACAGTAAGACTCAAGGTAACCCTTTTTATTGTAACCTCCAATAGAACTCACTTGTTCATCACAGTCAGACTCAAGATAACCCTTTTTGTTGGAAAGGCAGTGCTCTAATTTGTGGTCATCCGATTCGTTCAGGCACTCACTGGCTGATTTATTGATCAATGAAGACAGGTCCATCTGGTGAAAAAAGAAACAGATCCAGCCATTAAGGCAATTAAAGCACAAAATAAAGAAGCATAAGGCATTCTGTAGAGCAGCATTCCGTAAATGGTGGTTCACAGACTGGCACCGGTTCATGAGCCTTATGCTGCTGGTTCGCACAAAACGAATAATTGTGGTCAAATAAAGAAAATATAATAAATAAATCTTGTGCCGGTCCCTGGATCATTTTTTAAACTTGTGCACTGGTCCAGTTCTCCACTTGTAAACTGGTCCAGTTCTCGACTCGTCCACTGGTCCAGTTCTCCACTTGTAAACTGGTCCAGTTCTCCACTAGTCCACTGGTCCAGTTCTCCACTTGTAAACTGGTCCGCAAAATGTAAAATTTGGAAGAGCTGTGTAGAGTGCTGTCGGTCAAAGGAGACCATACTACTGTCGGTCAAAGGAGACCATACTACTGTCTGTCAAAGGAGACCATACTACTGTCAGTCAAAGGAGACCATACTACTGTCGGTCAAAGGAGAACATACTACTGTCGGTCAAGGGAGACCATACTACTGTCGGTCAAGGGAGACCATACTACTGTCGGTCAAGGGAGACCATACTACTGTCGGTCAAGGGAGACCATACTACTGTCGGTCAAGGGAGACCATACTACTGTCGGTCAAGGGAGACCATACTACTGTCGGTCAAGGGAGACCATACTACTGTCGGTCAAGGGAGACCATACTGTCGGTCAAGGGAGACCATACTGCTGTCGGTCAAGGGAGACCATACTACTGTCGGTCAAGGGAGACGATACTAGTGTCGGTCAAGGGAGACGATACTACTGTTGGTCAAGGGAGACCATACTACTGTCGGTCAAGGGAGACCATACTAGTGTCTGTCAAGGGAGACCATACTACTGTCGGTCAAGGGAGACCATACTACTGTTGGTCAAGGGAGACCATACTACTGTTGGTCAAGGGAGACCATACTAGTGTCTGTCAAGGGAGACCATACTACTGTCTGTCAAGGGAGACCATACTACTGTCGGTCAAGGGAGACCAGACTGTTTTTAATTAAGAAATATACAAAGGTTAAAGGAAAACCTGAAGAAAGAAAATAACAGACAATGACCATTTCAGACAATGACCATTTCAGACAATGACCATTTCAGACAATGACCATTTCAGACAATGACCATTTCAGACAATGACCATTTCAGACAATGACCATTTCAGACAATGACCATTTCAGACAATGACCATTTCGGCCAAAAAGGGCTTCAACGGCAAAAAGAGTTTAAGACAGAGACAAAAACTCTTAGCTTATGACCTTTATATTTGCTATATTGTGAAAATTTGGAACCACAAGATGCTGAAGTTTCTATGCAATAAATTCATTAAACTATTCAGTAAACTTGTAACGATCGTATGGAATGACGATGTTACTTGTAGTTATTACTTCCATTATTTATTCACATTCACAGACGTCCACGATTACCTAACAAAGCACGATGGCCAGAACTCCATGACTTATTAGCATCACAACATTTATTAACTGAAAAGTGTATACCACTGGAAATAACACCTCTGTAAACTAGAGCAAATATAATTGTCTAACTTCCTCCACTTCCCATTTGTTGAATCAACATTAAGATGCTGTTTAATACAAAAGTCATCATAGCAAGTGCTAATCAAGAAATATATTCAAACCGCCATTCATCCGGGTCCTTCATTGTACATCATATAACTGCTTAACTTCCCGTTCTTTCTACTTAACAAAACAATACATTCTTCTGAAACAAAATTAATATCTAAATATTTGATCTGTGACAAAACTATTCAGTCAACAATTCACAGAGTTTTTAAAGTCTTTTCCAATCTTTCTCTTTTGACCATCAATTTTCTGAACCACACAAAATTAAAAACTTAATATTCTGATTAGTTTCTCTCTCTCTCACCCCTCTCTCACCCTGTCATTGTGTTTGCCTTGAGTTCTAAATATCTGTAGTTGAAACAAGAGCCTATTTTTGGCTTCTGAGTTCTTTCCATGATATTTGCCGCACATCCAACATCCTTGCTACACTTACATACACAGTCGTTGCTGTTCTATAGTAATCTTATATTCCATCTTATTTAATTTATCTATTTCTAATATTTTACGTTTCTTGTTAATCTCATATTTAAATTCTTTGATTTGATGGGTCACTTCTGTAGTTCAATATGTCTACCATTTCCTGTAGACTACACTTATTACTGAAATGTTCACTTTGATTTGATGGGTCACTTCTGTAGTTCAATATGTCTGTCATTTCCTGTAGACTACACTTATTACTGAAATGTTCACTTTGATTTGATGGGTCACTTCTGTAGTTCAATATGTCTGCCATTTCCTGTAGACTACACTTATTACTGAAATGTTCACTTTGATTTGATGGGTCACTTCTGTAGTTCAATATGTCTGCCATTTCCTGTAGACTACACTTATTACCGAAATGTTCACTTCCCATTAGTGTCCTTCAGATTTTCCTCTAACCTTTGTATATTTCTTATTGCTTCAACCTGAATGCAGCTTTATAATGGTTTTCTTGCACTTCTTTTTAAACAAAAATAAAAAGTTTAAATTTATCTCAATCTTTGTATTAACATTAACTTGAAAATCCTTTCTGTAAAGTTAAGTTTTTTTATAAAATATATTTAGTTATATTATATGTTGCAGATATATATGAAAACTTTCTAATAAGTGGTATTCCGCCCAGCAACAAGAGACCCTGGCCTCAATGTTGCCGCTCACAGACCAGTAACTGGACGCAGCTGGGTGTCTCTCTCCGGGAGATGGTAAAGAAAATAATGTCTAGTTGATTCTTAACAAGGCTGGTACAAATGAATGAAATCCAAACGAGGGCCTTTCGAACCCCCTCCTCCCTTTGGGTTCAGGCCGGCTGAAGGCCCTGGCACTGCTGGGGGCAATAGGCGAGGTGCTACGGTTCACCTCCCTCAAAACCTTGAAAAATTACGGCTTAACTGTGGTGGCGCCGGAAAACACCTTAGCACCACAATTGGGTGGACCTTGCACTGGATGTTGCGGGGGAGGCCAAGGTGACGGAAGAGTCTTATGTTCAGACAATGTTATATGGCACTGCCCAACAGATGGCGCAGGTTGCCACTGAGCTAGCCAGAATTTAACCAAAATATGCATGTTAGTTCTTCTTCTTCTTACTTCTTATGCCTTTCTACCCATCTAAGCTTCCTCTCTTTCTTTGTCCCTGTGGGTTCCATGTTAGGTGGTGCCATCTGGGGGTTTTTGGAGCGTATCCCCTATCCACCTCCACCTTTTCTTTATGATATCTTCATGAATGGGCACCTGGTATGTCCTTTCTAGCATGTTAGTTAGGTAATAAGAAATCATATGTACTCACATGACCTTTGACCGGACTATCACCTTCCTCTCCTTCATCTTCTGAGTACCATTTTTTTATTTTTTCCTCCAAGGCGGAAGCGTCGGCACCACGCATCAGGTCAACCTTCACCTTGTTGCGGTAAAATATAAAAGTGGGCATGGCCATAACACCCTCACGTTGTGCAGTATCCTGAAAGAAATCTTAGAATTATTACTAAATACATATCTCATGTTGTGCAGTGTCCTGAAAGAAATCTTAGACTTATTAAAAAATAGATGTATTTTTAAATGAATTAAAAAAGCGCCTTACAAATCTTGAATTATTTTAATAAAATGACCCCTGGAAATAATGAAAGTTTGGAAGATTTGAAGGCAATTTTTTGAGAACGTCTTTCTGGTTGAATTTAGTTATACCCTTTGCCCTAGATGTAATTTGTCATTGTCTTTAGCTGGATAAACCAGTCAAGGAAGACAATTCTTTGTGACTTTCCTGTTACAGTGTTGGCAATCATCAACAGAAATCATTCAATTTGACCATCAAGTAATACAGCTTTTTATATATATTTCTAAAGTACAAGTGATAAAATAGGCAAACCTGGCACTGGTCCACATCAATCTTAAGGAAGACGGCCTTGGGGTAGCGGTTGCTCATGTCTTCAAATGCTGGGGCTATATCCCGGCATGGACCACACCTTCAGAAGCATAAAACGACATAAGTTATTCAACACATTCAAGCTTTAGTCGTAGTAGTATTAAATGAAAGCAGTGCAGAGACAGTTAGTGTAAAATGATACTGGAAAAATGTTAACTTGTAGAACTTGTAGATCATCTATAGCAGGCCTGCACAACATATGGGCAGCATGCGGCCCGCTAGCACCAACTTTGCGACCCGCAAGGAAACGTAATATTTTTTATTATTATTATTTCCTTAACAGCTTTCCCCTTGTCCTATTTTCTTTTGGCACGCACAAGTTTTTCATAACTTACATTTTGAGTTTGTGCAGGCCTGGTCCATAGTAAATTACATAAGAAAATTTTGGAAACAAAGGGCAGATGCCCATATAGCTGGATCTGAATGATGATGAAATTTGAATAAACCCTTTTAAATATGAAAACTAGTGTTAGGTCGAATGTTTCTTGAGAACATTACATTGTTGCGTTATCAACTCTTCATCTAACCAAACCTGTGTTCATGAGTTCAAGTTTTCTAACATCTTATCAATTTGTCATAGATCAAACTCAATCATTTATTTTGATTATATCAAATATCGTAACTGTTGGCCCGGTGAGCTGATGGTCATGTTGACTGCATCTCAAGCAAAGTTAAAAGGGATAATCCCACAAATGTGGATAAATAGCTGGGTGAAATGGAATTTTCATGGATAGGTTAATCAGGAGTCATATTTGGGAGACAGCAGGTTAATCAGGAGTCAAATTTGGGAGACGGCAGGTAAATCAGGAGTCAAATTTCGGAGACAGCAGGTAAATCATGAGTAAAATTTGAGAGACGGCCGGTAAATGACGAGTCAAATTTGGGAAACAGCAGCCATATTTGCGTGGAATTAAAAATTGTCTACTTGGGCAAAAATAACTTAAATCTTTCCAGTAAATTAACCTTGCCAGAATAGTTTCTATAGAATAATGTATAAAAGCGTTTGTACACATTAGGAGATACGGCCACAGCAAAGATGGTTGAGAAAGGTTATTTTCAAAACGTAAAAATCAGACTATAGAAAAATGGATAGGTGACACCAAAAGCTATTTTACTAAAATGATAGGCACAAATGCCTGTTAAAATTATTGAAAACAAATTCCTACATAATTAAGAAAAAAAACTTTTATTTTTTGCATAAATAAAAAACACTGAAATATAAAATTAAATAGCAATTTTTTAAAGAATTTTTAGCATATGGATTTCATGGGGTTGACAATTATGTCTGTCTGCAATGGTTATTTCAGTAAAAAATAGGCCTAAATATTTTTAAGAAGAGAGATTGTCGAGTTGAGGAATTTAACTCCACATCAAAGCATCTTACCAAGTGGCAAAATAATCAGCAACAACAAGTTTAATTCCTGCATTGTTCAATTCTGTGACAAACTCTGTGTCGTTTCCAATTTGGCGCAGATTTGCCATCGCTAGAGATAAAAAAAACAAAGGAAAATTTCATCAATCCATTTAAATTCTCTGTGTCTACAAATTAAACATAATTTAGTGGCTGAAAATGTTTGTCCAGACAAAGTCAAAATAGGAACTTCCAACAGTTTAAGTTTTAGGCTACATTTGCCTTTAGACCTACCCAAAGCTTTTCTTTAAAACGTTATGAATATGTGATGTTTGCTGTTACTATGCGTGCTTCGATTCTGTGAAAATATGTGATGACATGTGCTTGTGCTAGGAGTGCTTCAATTCTATGACAAGATGTGATGATGGGTGTTGGGCACACAAAAACCTGCTAAAACTGTGCAACATTATTTATGGATGACCCTTTAATAAAAACACACTCTTCATTAGTGTCATAAAATGCTCACGACATCAGTAATAAATAGTATAGTACTAATTTACAAGTTCTAAAATCAATTATACAACTACAACTAGTCTACTTAAAGCAGCACTAAATTCTTTACTAATTACTATGAACATTTATGATTGGCCTAGATCATAGTGGCCATCCATAATTGATGCCACGTGGCTTGTGGTCCCATTTTTGTGATGAAATGTGACAAGGGGTAGGATGAGGTTTAAAGCAATGTGATGTAACACAAATAAAGTGGAACATTATCACAAATAAATTTGCACTGGATAACACTAATTAAAGATATTTTAAACATTATTCTTTTATACAAGTATAACAATTTTTTTAATTTTTTAAAAATTACGATTATTAAGAGAATCGGTACAGGTATGCGAGTTTAGAAAAAAAGGCTCTTCTGAAGTTACAGGACACCGGGAAGGTGGAGAATCAGGGTCTAGTGACATCGACAGTTGTGTGAATTTTTGTTGATATGATGAACAGGTGCAATAGAATTAGAGCTAACACAAAAAGTGAGATTTTTTTTTAAATGGTGGGGGGGGGGGGTTGGGGGGGGTTTGTAATCTTAATAAAAGTTCTAGGGAAGGGAGGGATTCTTAACTACATCCCTCTCATTTTCAATCATTTCCTGCAACCGTCCCCGTCCCCCCCCCCTCTAAATTAAATTGAAATAAAATAAAACAAAGTAAAATAGTTAAATAATTTAGTTACTCTCGTTTTAATTCTTCAATTGACTTTCGGAACAAGAATTAAATTAAACAATAAAATTAATGTGCCAACAAAATTCACCACAAAAACATGTACTGCTGCTAATCAAAAAGCATAATAACAGAGGCAGCAACAACCAGCAAAGGCAGCAAATACAATTTTCTGGGTCTTTAGCACCCAAGGGGAAGCTTTCACCCCTGGTTATGAACAACTGTTCAAGGAAAATATTTCTGACACAGGTGCAGTTATTTGATATCCATGGGATATGAATTATTTTGAACAGGACAATAATGGACAAGACTGACAAGAATGCTATTTTTAGGAGGGGGTGCAGGGGCTCCTGACATTTGAGACGGGTGTCTAATTTTTAGTTATTATAGGGGAGGGTGGGAAAAAATCTGCTAACTTTGTGTGACATCAAATGAATGGCATCGCCCCACCATAGGCCCTGCCAAGTCAAAAACTAACCCAGTAACAGAATTCATACTGGTTAATGTAGGCGTAGACTACTTGAACCTTTTTTCTTTTTAAATTATGTACCTTCCTTTTGCTGTTCTCTGGAATACTATATTTCAGATAAGTTTTCATTTTTACTTTTAAATTTGTTACTTTTTGTTTGAACACAGGTACTTCACTAAAAAATTCAAAGTTGTTATATATTAATGAAACTTATATCATTAGAAAGGTCTCAGTATTTCCTTTCCATTGATACCAAATTTATTTTTCTATCTTAATTAGAAAAAAAATTATCACTTTTGTAGTGTCATAATTTTTCCTTATATAGCCTTAGTAAATAATTTACAAAATTCTGTGACCGAAAATAGACATCTTGGTCACTCAAAACGAGATAAATTTTTAGTCAGTAAAGTTAAAGCTCTGAAATTTGCAGCACATTTCAATTAAGTATTGGGCTTTAATAATGACTTATTATTAGTTATATATTACAATTAATATATTAATGCATGGGATTTGAACAACAGAGAGTACTTAAATTTCAATAAAAATGTAGCCCCTATTCTCAATACTAAAAATTCCATAACTTTTTTTACCTATAAAGTTAAAGCCTTCAAATTTTCAGCACAGTTTAATTAGTTATTGGGCTTTAATAATAAGCAATTTTAACTAATGTATTAGCAGGTGGTATTTGAACAACAGAGGGTAAGTAAATTTATTGTTTAAAAAATTAGATGTGTTTGACACTCAAAATACCATAACTCTTTCATCTGTAAAGTTAAAGCCTTCAAATTTTCAGCATAGTTTAATTAGCTATTGTACTGTATTAATAAGCCTATTTCATATTAATATTGAAATTAATTTATTTAATCAGTGACATTCAAGCAACGGAGAGTAAGTAAATTTAATTTTAAAAATTAGTCTTTTTGTGAATTAAAAATACAAAATGCATAAATATTACCAATCCAACTTATTGAATTAATGAAATTAAGGCATACTATCACATAGTGAATAATTCCAAAGAATAGATTTATATAATAATGGATAAGTTGCATTAAAAAAATGTTGATTACAAATAAATGATAAATACCGATATGATGATCCAATTCATGAAATTAATAATCAAAGTTTCTGTGCTACAAGAAATCTACATTACAAATGATGATCACTTAACACTATATTATACTTTTATATTATTTACTTTTGTAGCTCATTGAATGACTGAATAAAAGTGATACATTTTCTTTCATTGAAAGATGGTAAAAAAGAATGTGTTTGCCACGTCCATGGGCCAAATCTTGATCAAATTTGCAACAGTTGTGGATGCCATTGGTAATGGTAATGATTCAGTTTATAACAAAGATGAATGGTTTTCCAGACATTGTTTACTTTTGTGTCAATGTTGTTGATGCCACCCATCATGATGATAAATTGAGTCCTGTATGTATAAAATGCCAAATAAATGCAGTTGATGGTGAAAAATATCCATAGCTGTTAAAGATTATGCTGTGGTGGTCCATATTATGGTGGATTGTCCAGTTGGACATTACGTCAAACCTGATAGGCCTTAGTTAAAACAGGAAAGACCAGTACAACAATTTAAGTGAAATTGTTCAAGCAGTCACAATTTTGGCAGTAGAGGCCGTATTCCAAGAAATATCAACTAAAGTTTTACTGAAGCAATACTTGGCACAGCACGCAGTCAGCACCTCTAAGCAGGAGAGGTATTATGTTCCACAAACTCCCTGCAATTCAATGTTGGTCTTGTAGTCCAAAAACTGAAATAGAGATAGAAATTCATTAATTAAATTACAAAATATGCATTTTAACATAATTAAAAAAAAGTATGTTTCATATTTATTTAATTATTTAATTTTAATACTATTTAATTTAAATTTAAAGATTATGTATTCTAGTGACACAGTTTTAAATTACCGCATTTAATAAAGGCAGTGGTGATTTTATTGATCCTGTCTATCCAGTAGTCCTTAAGGGTGATTAAGGTAGTCCTCCAGTGTCGTCATTTCTGAAAAATGTAAGTTTTATGGCTCTAAATGTTTGATACAAGGTTTACAAATTCTATGAAAATTTTGAATATATGTATAAAGAGATCACTTGTTTTAAAATTATTTATACTGTAGACAGTTACTTACACTTCCCACAGCGGCTGCTCAACGTTATACTTTAATACCACTGGTTTCACCTTGTCTGCAGAAATCGTACGTCCCTCAATAGCATGTCTGTCAGCAATTCAGTTATGTAGACTGGTCTCATCCTTGTCTTCATCCTCGTACTGAATTGAAATTGATGGCTTAGATCCCTTGCTAAATCCCCTAATTACACCTATAAATACTTTGTCAACTCCTCCAACATCTCATATATGTTCAAATCTACATCCAACTAAATTATGATCTCCTCTGCTCAATGCCTCAAATATGTGTTGATGGTCCTCTGCTAAAATCCCCATTAAAGCTGTGCCTAAATCTGGATTATGTAAAAATTGCTTAACATCCTTTTCAACCTTTTTCCTGTTAGATCTATCTTTTCTTTGCCCCGCTTCTATGAGATTAGTTAAAACAGACTGACTTTTCCCAAGTCTCACAATGGTCCTTACTGGAACAAGAGTGACGTATTGCAAATTTAATCAGTGCTTTTTCTTCTGTTGGGCTATAGTCAAGGAGCCAAGCCATTGTTTTGTTTGACACTGAACTTAATTTTCCCATCTCTAAATCCCATTTTTGCATTGGGGGAACGACGAAGCTTGTGATCCAACATGCCCAATACTCTTTCACTATGCATGTTGTGAAGAGGAGCAGATGAGGTTTTTGCAAGAAGCTCAGGTGTTACAGAAGATAGAGCTCCTGTAAGGACAACCACACATCCCTCAGCAAGAGCTCTTGTTATCTTGTTAAACAATTCATCTGTCCCTCCATTTTTCAAGCTTGCCAGTACAGGGTCATCTGTTCCAAGGCAGTTGTTGAAGCAGTCTTCTCCCGTTGATATCAAAAGGTCTGGTTGTAGCTTCAATTTTGACAACTGCTCCAGAGACACCTTCATGAACGGTCCCCATAAAAAAACAACACATTTATTTAAAATGTATAGAAACACAGGATTAGCAAATATTGGTACTAATTCAGTGTATGACTAACCACTAGAGGCTGGTACAAACAAATAGATTACCATTTCCAGATGAGCTCTTCCAGCTTTGTTCTGGTAAAATAGAGTGATCAATGGTCCTGACAGCACTTTTCCAAACAAACCTGAGCAAAGAAATTAATACAAAAAATTACATTACCGGTATGAATCTTTAAAAAGTTTCCAAACCTTTTAAAAAAAAAACAAGCTGTTAAAAAATAAATGAAAAATATTTACACTTACCTAGTATTCTGAGTTGAATAATGATATGTGGATTCTCCAAATCTTTCAGGATGGCGCTTGACATCTTAGCATCTCCTTTGTATTTTGACAGAAATTCTTTTAAAATGTCTCTCAAATGGTACATGGTTCCCGTTAGATGAAACAGCACATGCATTCTATTCCCCACATATCTTGTTATAACTCCAGAGGCTAGGTTTTTATAGTTTAAAAAATCTCTGTCACCTCCCGGATCTCCGGATTTCATCTTGTACCTATTGAAAATTAATAGGCATACATTTTTAAACAAATTTAAAAAAAAAAAATATCTGTCAAGATGTGGTTATGTGTTTATGCGTGATTGATATAATGTATATATAAATTATAAAGAAAACAAACTGTTCAACACCCACCTGAGCTTGGAAATAGAGTAGAGTAAATTGGCTGCTCTTCCTTCGGATCCAAATAGTCCACTATTAACTTTAAATTCGTTATCCAATTTCTTCAGGATTCATCGAGCTTGGGAAGCTATACCTTCAATGAGATGCACATTGCAGTTTAGCTCCACCAAATCTGTACTTAAAAATGCAGACAATTCTTGATTGATGCAGTGATTTACTGCTGCCCTGTCAGTGAGTGTTGAGGCAAAACAATTTCTGAACTTGCATCACTATTTGCTGTTGTATGTTCTTGTACAAAGCAAAAGTAGTTGCGAGGTGTTATTGCTGACCATCAACAGATATATGACACTCATTGACATGGCAGCTTTCTTTTGTCGTACCGTCCCAAGAAATTGTTGCAGTGCCATCTTGCGCATTGAATAAATGCTCCCCTAATTGCAAATCTGAAATTAGTCCCATCTCATAAGCCATTAGAGATGCTGTAGACGGTCCAGGAATACTCGACACTGTCCAATGGCAGAGCTCTTTAATGACAAATTCAATTATAGGTCCAGCCTTCTCTTTAGCAACTTGGTTTAAAAGGCACATGTATATGCATTTTCAAATTGGAACACTATATTACTTTCTCTTGTGCTCCATCTCAGAATCCCCTAAAGTTGTTACAATTGTGGTAGTGTTGAACCTCTTCTCCAATTCTTTTAGAACATTTCTTAAATAACAAACTTCTAAGTCCTATTCCTTTATTCTTTCCTCTTTATCCTTGATAATATTTTTCAATCCTAACATTTTTTCTTTTACAAAACCGTACTCTGTTTTAGTTTGAGTCCTTTTTTCAGTTTTCTAAAAGGCCTCGACGACGACGACATCTGATTTAGATTTAAAATAATTTAACTTTTTTTTTGTAATTTTAAATTTTCTTAATGTAAACTTTTCTTGTGTTAACTAGTCCCTAGCTGCAGCATTTCTTTTAAAATTTTGGTTGACTCTTTTTACATCAAAGCGTTGCGACATATCTCGTAAGTCATTTTTTAAGGCTCTGATTTTTTATTTCAAATCACATACTGCCTTCAAATGTGCTTTTCTTAACACTGGGCACTTGTCACATTTTCGTCACAGTCTCTTTTCAGTTGCGTTGCTGTTTCTTTATTTTCAATGTTAGTGACAGATTCCACTATCGGCGCTTTCTTCTTTATTACTGGTACTGGTATCCTAAATGGCATATTTAAAATTCCAGTGTTACGATCCCAGTTTTTGCTAATGTTCTTTTTGAATATGTGTACATCTCTGGTTAAACGCACTAACGCAGAGTTTATCCCTATTAGGGTACAATCATGGCCTTTGTCTTTCAAAATTTGATGTATACTTTGAGACGTTCTGGCATTATATTTGTTCAGCGTAAGCCATGTTTGTAAAACATATCCATTAGGGAATATTATTCCTTAATGGGATATAAATTTACTGATATAATTCTGGTAATCTTGATGAGTCTTTATTACAGCACGTCCATCAAGATTCACTGCTCCTCCAAAAAGTGGGGGTGACATGGCTTTATATTAAAGAAAGAAGATACTGAAACAGACCAAAAAAAATATATCATGTTTTACGTACTAACAGCTTAGCAAAGCACTGCTTTGATATTAATAATAAATTTATTCAATGACCAAAAGTAAGGAGACAAAGCCTGAAGAGTCAATATAGCTGACTTATAAATTAGTATTAGCGTTAAGCTAACTTAAAGTTTAAGGCAATAAAGAAAATTACATTTTGTTGTTGTAAAAATATGGTATAATACAAAAAGACAAAACAGAGACAGGTTATTTAGAAGACAAAGGTTAATAAAATTATGAAATAATTAAAGTAAAAAAAATTGTTGATGATGTTCAGCAGCTGCTACTGTTGGGCTTAAAATTAATTAATTATATAAAACAAGTTTACGATAAATTATGTATCATTTTTTATCTATTCCCAAAAACAAAATAATTTCCATTTGTAGAGGTTGATAATTACAATTAAAATAAAGATTTAGATAAATCAAAATGATTTAGCATTGACATAGTTATCTTAGTAAGTAAAGTAATCATGACCATGAAAATTAATTTATAATTTTAATTTTAAAAAAAAACCATAAAATTTGTACCGGGTATCAATTTATTTACAGTCTTGAAATTAAAACAAATTAAATTGGATCGCTTTTAAAAACAATGGATTTATAAAGATAAAAAATACATCTTGTTGAATAATAAGAAGAATAACAGAGAATGGCTGTGTCTTCTGATTCACTTTGCGTAATCTATAACTGGTTACTAATTATGCTCAAATTCTACTGTGTCTAGACAATTTAAGTCCTATCTAAATTTCATATTGTTGATTTTTTTAAATTAGTTAAGTTGTTCTTACATACAAAAGAAAAAGAATTAATTGGAAAAATATAATGGTTTCCGAAATATAGTGCTAGCAAACTTACGTGTTTTCCCAACGAAAGATATCTGCTACAAGCGCTAAACGTCCGATGAAAAAGATTAGATCGTAATGATCGCCCTCCTCGTGTGCACAAAATTGGCAGCAATAAGGTCATTGTCTCTTCCTTATATATAAAGGAAACTGTATCTCCATGACACCGTGACCTACCGGCACTGACTGGTCACCGGTTAACGATCTGTTTCTCGCATCCGAAAAATCGCCCGGCGCACGCAGTTTAGTGAGGTACCTATTGAACAGTTTGCTGATTTGAAGGCTTCTCTTGCTGACCATTCCTTGTTTTGTTGCTTCTTTTTTTTTTTTATTTCAGGTTTCCCCTACCTTTTTCTACATGTTTCATTTTGTACAGCAGCACTAGTAACGAGTACCTGACTGCTTAGTATATATATTTGAATAACTAGGCCTAAAATTAGTAATTACTAATAAAAATAATCAATTAGTGTATGATTTGGCATCTGCTTCTACTTCCTTTCCTACAATTAAGTTTACAACTTCAACTATGTGAATGTGGCACATCATTTTCGTCGGTTAATAATATTGAGAAAATAGAACCATAAATTTCTAAACTCACCATTAAGTAATTTCTAAATATATTTTTAAAAGGGAATGTAATTAGTGTGTTCAATTTCAAATACTTTGAAAACAAGCCTAATACTAATACAAAGTGAACATCCAAAACAAATTTTCGGTTTGTAGATGAAATGGCACTTCCTGCAAGGGGAACTACTCTAGCATATGGACAACATTTTTCAGTCCACAGATTACCGTAAGAAAACGAAAGATTTTTATTATATCAAATGTTGATTCTAGTTACTCGTTGTTTCCATGAGTTACATGAGAGAGATGAAAGGTTCGGATATGGTTCATGCAAATCTTGGACATTGGCAAATTTGAAGGAAAAGGAGATGATGTACACTCAACGTAAATTAAATTAAAATAATGGATATCACACATATGTTGGAATCTTTCGAACATAACATAAGAATGCGTCTTAAGTTTAAATTCTAGATAATATGACAGAAAAATTGTGCGAAGGGGGTGATCCACACCAGAGGCGTAGCATGGTGGGGGCAGGGGGGAAAGATGTCCCCGGGCGCCAGCTAGTTAGGGGCGCCAAAATGCACTTTGATATTATTTTATTGCTGAAAATAATGGGTTTGAGAGTTGAAAAAAAGAAAAAGGTGCGCTAAAAATGGATCTTGTCCCGGGCGCGAATCTTGTCCCCGGGCGCCAAACACCCTCGCTACGCCACTGCTCCACACATGTCACATGGCGGCACTTTCTTCTTTATATTGAGGAAAGTGAGGAGGACATTTTCGGCCAACAGCATTTTTTTTCTTGGAAAAAGGAGGCATGTGGGCAGTAACTCGATCTACACTAAGGCATTAAAAAAAAAATGTCATTGTATCGTTTAAATTAAGCTAGGCCTAAAAATATTTTATAGTTGACATTGAACTATGTTAAACAGTTACGAACGAAACTATCAAAATGAATAATTAATGTGTTCACTGTTTTTAGAGAGCACTGCAAAATCTTTTTTTTTTCAAATCTCTAATTGTCCCTGTTAAAATCCAAATGTCATTTCTCCTTAATGGGACAATTGACTAAGGGAATTTAGGTGAAAGAAAGGGCAAGCAACTCTTTAATTCGATTCCATTTCCTTTTATAATTCGATTACCATTCTTTTCCTGCACTCTTACCATCTACAAAAGTGATTCTCAAATTGTTCTCTATGTGGACCAGCTCTGAAGTGCATGTGAAAATTATTTTAAAAAAAAAAAAAAACAACACTGTTTGAAACGAAGATACTTTTTCGCCTTGACATTTCCATGTATACAATATACAACCTTGTATCAAACAATATACAAGATGGTGATATACAATATACAACATGGTGATACATAACAAAATGGTAATGTATAATAACAGTTCATGTAATAAGATATCATAACAGTACATGTAATAAGATATCATAACATTACATGCAATAAGATATCATAACAAAGTACATATAATAAGATATAATAACATTACATGTAATAATATATAACGACATTACATGCAATAAGATATAACAAAGTATATTAAATAAGATATAATATAAAAAGTATATGTAATAAGATATAATAACATTACATTTCATAAGATATAATACCAATACATGTAATAAGATATAATAACAGTACAAGTAATTTGACCCTACTTTAATTTTGTCTTTCTTTTCTGTTGCCCCCCCCCCCCTCCCCCTTTTTAAATAAAATATAAAATAAAAAGGATATTAAATAAAATATAATAACATTACATTTCATAAGATATAATACCAATACATGTAATAAGATATAATAACAGTACAAGTAATTTGACCCTACTTTAATTTTGTCTTTCTTTTCTGTTGCCCCCCCCCCCTCCCCCTTTACTTCGTGTATGCGCCCATCTGATTGTATGTCGATTTAAAAGGGCCTTTTGTTTATACTTATCATACATACAGTTTAGAGTCTGTGATTGTATGTGGACTTAAGAGCCTTTTATTCATACTCATTCCACATACAGTTCAGAGTCTCTGATTGTATGTGGACTTAAGGGCCTTTTATTTATACTTATCGCACAAACAGTTTAGAGCATATGTGTCAAACTCAAGGCCCGCGGGCCACATCCGGCCCACCGTAGAATTATATCAGGTCCGAAAGGTCTTGTCCGGGTAATAATTATATTAGGCCCGAGAGATAATTTTAGGCAGAAATATATTTTGATGTTTCTGCGATATAAAGTGCAAATCAAATTGACTAATTAGCAGCCTTGTCGAGCGATAGGCTACCTGAAAGCGTTCTCGCTTCGGTCCGAATAAGCGAAAATAAAAATTGTGAAGTGAGTGGATGTTCGTCGATACAGTAACATAGCAACTTTCAGATGCTCGTTTTGGATTGGCGCATAAGAAATGAAAGTAGTGTAGTGCTCGGATATGACATCACCTTTTCCCGCTACGGCTAACGTGTAACGTGACACCAATCAAGCGCCTGTCAGTAAATCTGAGTAAATCAAAGCTAGCCTTAAACATGCTGAGAGAAAAGTTCATTCTGAAAACAGAGCCTTTCAAAGTCGCTGTGAGTCTTTGTGTCTGTACTTGGCATCCAGAAAATCTGGTAGGCTTAGCGTAGAGAATGTTTTTTCCTGTTCGGCCCGCAACCATACGTGTGATTCGAGTTTTGGCTCGCCGAACGATTGAGTTTGACACCCCTAGTTTAGAGTCTCTGATTGCAAGTGGACTTAAGGGCCTTTTATTTACACTTATAACACAAACAGATTAGAGTCTCTGATTGCAAGTGGACTTAAGGGCCTTTTATTTATAATTATAACACATACAGATTAGAGTCTCTGATTGCAAGTGGACTTAAGGGCCTTTTATTTATAATTATAACACATACAGTTTAGAGTCTCTGATTGCAAGTGCACTGAAGGGCCTTTTATTTATAGTTATAACACATACAGTTTAGAGTCTTTGATTGCAAGTGGACTTAATGGCCTTTTATTTATACTTATAACACATACAGATTAGAGTCTCTGATTGCAAGTGGACTTAATGGCCTTTTATTTATACTTATAACACATACAGTTTAGAGTCTCTGATTGCAAGTGGACTTAATGGCCTTTTATTTATACTTATAACACATACAGTTTAGGGTGTCTGATAATATATGCTGACATAAACTATAACCCCGCCCTTCCCCGGTCACAAACTCTATATCACTCCCTGCCCCGGTCCCACACTATATATCACCCCTCCCCCAACACCCACTCTATATCACCCCCTCCCCAGGTCACACACTCTAAGCTCTACAAGTCTTATTCCAAGACGATGATCTGTTAGAACTTGTGGCTAGAACGCTCATAATAGGTCTTAATTAACCATAGTACGGGCGGTTAAGATTGTCTCTGTTAAGAGCTCGATGAGCTCTAATAAGGGCGTACATATTAAGAGATCTGAAAGATACTGCCTGCTTATAAAATATACATAGTAAACTTTTCAAACATGTTTGTCCACTTTTAGTTACAGACTTCAAAAATATAGAACCTAAATAAAATTGTAATTGGTAATCCATCAATAAATTTCCTGTTTTTTTTTTTCTTTTTAAACGTGTCATAAAATCGGAACCTTACAAACGAACTCCGCAAGTATAGCATTGGGAAGGACAGTTTTTCTTCGTTACATGGGCAACTCATGTTTTTATGATGATGAACAATCAGGTGTGGAGAAGGGTTTAAAGTGATATCAACCTATTCAAAAGTGTACATGACATGTCTTTGTCATCAAGGTGAATTATACAAATATTCAAAGAGTGCACATGACATGACTTTTTCATCAAGGTGACTCACGAACATATTCAAAGAGTGCACATGACATGTCTTTGTCATCAAGGTGAATTATAAAAATATTCAAAGAGTGCACATGACATGACTTTGTCATCAAGGTGACTCACGAACATATTCAAAGAGTGCACATGACATGACTTTGTCATCAAGGTGAATTATAAATATATTCAAAGAGTGCACATGACATGACTTTGTCATCAAGGTGGTTAATCATTTGTATGGTTCGCGTTACTTCACTTGTAGAGGAATGTCAGGTGTATGTTACTTCACTGGTAGAGGAATGTCAGGTGTATGTTACTTCACTGGTAGAGGTACGTCAGGTGTATGTTACTTCACTGGTAGAGGTACGTCAGGTGTATGTTACTTCACTGGTAGAGGTACGTCAGGTGTGTTTTACTTCACTGGTAGAGGTACGTCATGGGTATGTTACTTGACTGGTAGAGGTACGTCATGGGTATGTTACTTGACTGGTAGAGGTACGTCATGGGTATGTTACTTGACTGGTAGAGGTACGTCATGGGTATGTTACTTTACTGGTAGAGGTACGTCATGGGTATGTTACTTGACTTGTAGAGGTACGTCATGGGTATGTTACTTGACTGGTAGAGGTACGTCAGGTGTATGTTACTTCACTGGTAGAGGTACGTCAAGTGTATGTTACTTCACTGGTAGAGGTACGTCAGGTTTTTTATTACTTCACTGGTAGAGGTACGTCAGGTGTATGTTACTTCACTGGTGAGGTACGTCAGGTGTATGTTACTTCACTGGTAGAGGTACGTCAGGTGTATGTTACTTCACTGGTAGAGGTACGTCATGGGTATGTTACTTGACTGGTAGAGGTACGTCAGGTGTATGTTACTTCACTGGTAGAGGTACGTCAGGTGTATGTTACTTCACTGGTAGAGGTACGTCAGGTGTGCATTACTATATTGGAAGAGGAATGTCAGATGTGTGTTACTTCACTAGTAGAGGATTTTCAGGTGTGTACTACTTCACTGGTAGAGGAATGTCAGGTGTGTTTTGCTTCATTGGTAGAGGAACGTCAGGTGTGTGTTACTTCATTGGTAGAGGAATGTCAGGTGTGTGCTAGTTCACTCGTAGAAGAATGCCAGGTGTGACTTTAAAATTATAATTCAATGGAGACTATGGGTAAAATATCGAATGATTGGATGATTAGTTTCATTGTTAAGAAGACTGGCGTGGGGGGGGGGGTTTGTGGGGCGCGTGATATCATTTGACACGTCAGCTCTACCTACACACAATGCAATGTTTCGATCGCTTGATGTGTACACAGAAAATGCTAGTTCACTGTGTATATTATTTAATTTCTAGCTAAATGTTGTAAACCATGTTATATTT